ACAATGTCCTTGGCCAAAATCTCAGCAGGCCATCCAAGGCTGTCCATATTTACCTTGGGTATCATTGCCTTGTTGATGGAGCAAATCCTGTCATCCTGAGGCAGGAGGAGGTCACGAGCAGTGGCTAGTGCTTCCGTTCCGAAGCGGGGAGCAAGACCCCGTTTTGTGACGGCAATGCCCCGGTAACCGGTGATAGAGGAGGCAGCCTTGATGAGGTCAGCTTTGCTAGCACGGTCAATTGGCCAGAAGCGCGGAATAATGGACAAATCCTCCACTTGCTCTCCTTTTGGAATGAAATCCCTGACCATGAGGTCACCGTTGCCACTGGCCGCCAACAAGGTGACGCGATGCTTCTGCTGCACTTTGAGGAGGCATTGATGGACCACATCATGCTTGTCCTTTGCATGCTCTTGCACAACTCTGTACCCATAGATGGCCGCATGCCCCCAAATAGGGTCTGAACAGACATCTTTCAGCATTGCCTTGAATTTGCTCAAGGGGTTGTCATAGAAGGACTGGAAGGTGTCTTTGGTTGCCAGCCGTGCGTCACACTGCAAGACCAATTCACAAACTGCAGCCAACGTGAGAGTAATGGAAGGGGTCGGCAGCGAAAAGTGGACATCGGGAGTGACAACAAGCAAATGCACCTGTCGCTTATATTCTTGATTCAATGCAGGGTCAAAGACGATGACTTCGAAGGGCCCAGACAGATTGGGCAATTTGGCCAGCGAGTCGGTGGGATCAATGAGCGGCAATAGGAGGGCGCACGCCTCTTTGGGTTTGACTTCCATGATCTGCTGTATGTTGCCTTTGGAGACAAAGGCAATACCACCTCGGTTGGTGGACAGTTGCTGCTTCTGCACAAAGGGCACAGGTGTCTTGTCTTTGGCGACAAAGGGGTGGTCCGATTGCAGCTGTAGGTCCTCCCACTTGCTCTGCTTGGCTTGCTTTTTCTTTGACTTCCACGGGTCGTCAAGTTGCCACGGATCAGGAGCCTGCATTGCGGCATCGGTTTGGGCCAAGGCTTCCATACCGCCAAGGGAAACAGCAGAGCAGGTTTGCATAACCTGCAAACCACCGACCAGCAGGAAGGTTCGGCGCACATTGTCAGCAAAGGTCCTCAACATTGGTGGCGCACCAGCAACTCTCCAGGCAATGTCTGATTCACCAAGGATAAGATCCACCACCTGCCTTTTCTGTTGCGGTATATGGTAGGCAGCTGGGACTGTGAGATCCGCAACCACCCACCGATGGAGGAGCTCCCAACCGCACATTCCGGGTCTTGTCCTGGTGGTGTCGACAATGATGATGGGTCGGAACCCAAAGGGAACGACAAAATCATTAGCAAAGTCAGTCCAGAATTGTTGGTCACGAACAGGAACTTGAAGAAAGACAACTCTGCAGGTGTGTTCCCTGGCATTGCACACAACTTCAATACCAACCCAATGCCCTTGACGAAGAGCGACAAATCGTTGCACTTCATCGGACATAGGTTTGACTCCCGCAGCAATGACAGACAAGTCATGGTGTAGAACTGGAGGGCAGAAAGACTCCGGCATGAAAAAGGAGAGCGTAAACTCAATCTCATCACTGGTGGCCCACCCAGGGTGAGTGCGATAGATGTTGGCTCGCATGTCTAACCATTCATCAGCAACAAAGAAGATCTCATTGATGTTGTAAACATGCATGGGTCTCCCTGTCGATCGAAGGGTCAAGTCTGCAGCCCTGCTGGGGGATTCCATGATAGCAACCAAAAAGGCATTACGACTGGCACGAGCAAATTGCAGCATGCGGTCATCTGTTTGAGTATCACGCCAAATGAAGTCAGCTTGATCAATGGCCTGCATAACATACTCACAATATTGGGCCCTCTGCAATCTTTGCGTAGTCCGATGTGTTGCAGGAAGCAAAGGCGCACCTGCTCGGGCATAGAAGGTCCGTAGTGTGTACCACGGCGCAAGTTCTGAGTCCTCAGCAGTACGGATCCACCTGAAGTTGTTGGGAGGAACTTGGATTCCCATGACATTGATCAATTCCAGCACTGCTGTGCGTTGCCGCTGAGTCAACTGTTCCGAGGAATGATACAAGATTCTCCACTGGCCTTCGAAGAAACGGGCTTCGACAAAGATCCAATCAAAGACCACAAGAATTGGTACCATAAAATGTTGGAAACAAAGCTGAAGATCTGCTGGTTCAACAGGAAACCGGAACTGAGCTTCATTGCTTACCCAAAGTGCAGGTGGGCACCAGCAAATTGTAGGCATCAGAACTTGCAAAATATCACAATGAAAGAGCATTTCATCGATAGCCAGGGCTCCGGGCTCAAGGTTGAGCTGCAGCAACCTAGCCATGGTTGGGTCCTCAAGGACATTGCAGCTAGGATTCGTCGTGAGATGGTCCATACCGCCAAGAACAACAGATGTAGTACCACCTGGTCGATCATCACCCCACAAGACATCGCCGTTGATGAGCATGAGAGGTTGGTCCAAGCAACAGGGCACTGAGTTCCTGATAGTGATAGTGCATTGCTGCTGCAAGAGTGATGCACACTGCCGAGGAGACACAGTTCGCGGAACTTGACAGATTTTCAACCACTTAGCATCACGACCACCACCCAAGATTACCCACTTGGCAGGGCAGACAGGTTCGTAAACCCCTTGTATACCCATCACGACTGGGAACCCAATGAGGGTTCTGCACGCTTCCGAGTTGGCTTTGATGAAATGCATCGACCCATCTTGATACCGAAACCCAGGAATACTCCCAAGACGTTCGACATTTGCCTGCTGAATCCAATAAAAGGTGCCGTCCTGTAGCAAGAAAAGAATCTTCGCACTGGATCGAGGCGTCTCATCTTGGCAAACGTACTCAGCAACATGAAGGAACCCTGCCCTTGCTGCATCAACAATACCATCAAATTCAGGATCATGTTCATGCTCACACCAGGGTTGAGTCGGTGAGAGGATCGGATCATCAGTCACTGGGGCAGAGCCAAGATGGGTGACCTGCAACGATCCAATTTGGAAGGCACCACACTTCAACATCAACGTGCCGGCAGGGAGTTGAGTACAAACACATGCTGGAGGGACAACAGATCCGTCATGCACCAGCTTGATCAAGTAGAGGAGATGACCATCAAGTTCCAGTGCTCTGAGCAAGGCCTGGAGGGCAGCTTCATCGTCAGGTTGATCCATCGGCACAAGTGTCATGTCATCACAAAACCTGATCAAAGTGCTCCCAACCAGCCAAGGTTGCCATGTAGCAACACTGGGGATAGCCTTTGCCACCATATCCGCGAGAGGTTGCAGAACATACATGCCATTGCAACAGCGAACCATGGCATTCTCCTTTGTAAGTCGATCGTTCCAGCATTGCTGAATGAGAGCCAGCTTAGGAATAACCTCTCCAGAGACTCCTTCCATTGCCACAAGAATACCAGCCAAAGCATGAAGCTGAGAAATAGCGTTCCCCAACTGATGAAAGGCCTTTCGGAGGTCAGCAGGCAGAGCAAGTGTAGCGGTCGTGCCAAACAAGGATGCAAAAAGAAAGGGGTCAACAAAACTAAAATCGTCCTGCCAACTCGTGAGAGTGGCAAAAATCCCTTTAGCTTGAACATGCTCGAGCTGCAACAGGTGTTGCGCCGTGTACGAAGCACAAAGGGTGGGCAGGTACTCACCGGTTGGAAGTACCCTCTGCATCAAAACCTGATGGGCGGAAGCCCCTTCGACGATTCTGGCTTTCTTACCTGGTGGAAGCAGGTTTCTGTCCCCGTAAATCTGCATCTGGTCAGCAGTCAACTTAAGGGCCTCGGTAAGCGAAGCAGGCAATTCAAAAAGGTGCTTGGGGTCGTCCCACGGCAACCTCCGATGGGATGAAAGCGCCAATGGGGATGATTCTCCATGCCATCAGAACACTCAAATATGGCAAGGACAGGGCGGACTCGGCAAAGGTGCTCAACAGCATCCAAAAAGCAGAAGCCCTCATCTGAGGCAAGTCCTGATTGTTTGCCTCCCCTGCTCCAGCTCGGACAAGGCGGGGACAACGTCATCAACAAGTTGGATTTGTGAGCCGTGGCCCTCAACAAGGTCACCTCGCTGACATCCGCCAGAATACCATTGTAAGCGGACAATGGATTGTAGTCAACAGGTACTGGAGCTCGAAGCACCTCCCGCTGGTGGTTGTAACTCCATGTCTTCATCACTTCAGGACACCAGTCAACCGAGGTATGCGAGGCAAACACGAATCCCATATTGGTGTTTTGAAGCCACCACATCGCTCGAAGCCAGCCTTCATACGCACCAGCAAAAAGGTGTGAAACTTGCCAAGCCAAACTTCGGTCATGCCTGGATATGTTCCAGACAGGAACAGCCGCATCAGCCAAGATCCGGTGGTCACTCAGGCGGTTGGCCGGAGAAGCAAGGACGCCCACCAGCATACCAGGCGAGAAATCAACTCTTGTATGGGTCACCGGACAAAGGATGTCAAAGGAGTCCCAAGAACCTGCTTGAATCACCTCATCAGCCATGAGCATCGAAGTGCGACGGAGATGTACACACATGGTCGGTCCATGATGAACATCACACACCTCTCCAAACAGCACCCAATCTTCATCATTGCTTCTGCACTGTCCGGTCGAGGCAATGCCCCTCAAAGCAGCACTGACAGAAGATGCCAGGGCGGAAGGCATGCCAAAAGTAGCCCATTGCAACAAACTTTCAACAGCAAACTTCCCATGTTCATGCCCTGAATCCAACGTCACCATGGCGTTCCGTGGCTTGGTGAAGCCAACGGTCTGTAGACGTGTCACTTCCGACCGAGCAGTCGGACAGCAACACCCCGGCCCACGCCGAAGGGGGCGTAAGCCAAAGGGCTTGAACCCAGATGGCTGGGGGGGAGCTTCCTTGAAGAAGCGCTCGCACTAATTAATCATTTGGTTCCTAGATTTTTAGGGAAACTTAAGCCCGGACTTTCGGCCTCACTTTGGCCGAGCTCCTTCCGAGGAGCGATAAGCTGATGGCCCTGAAGGAAGCCTTCTATCGCCAATCGGCGCCCAACCTCACCAACCTCTTCGCCACGGCGCGGTTTCTGCCGCGTGCCGAACGTTTTTGCTGGTGTGGTGGACGTTTTTGCAGAAGTCAAATGACTATACGGATCGAAATGATTATACACCAGGCTATGGAACGGTCCCCCCAAACCGTGGTAGCACTGGTCACGCTTCCGCGCTCCTTTCCGCGCGGAAATACGCGCGTTTCCAGACGAGTCGCACCTCCGGAGGTCTTGGTGTTCTTCGTGGTGATCTACTTCCAAGGCGCCGGGATCCCGTCGCGGTGGCGCCGCGATCCGGCGGCTCCCGATCGTGGCACTCGGAACGTTCACGTGTCGTGTTCACGAGCGATGGACGTGCAGAACCCTGTGACAGTCACGAGAGTGGTTGTAGTTACCCTGGAAGTCCAAGACCTTTTAAGGCTGTGGTTTTAGTGGAAGTCCTTCCTAAAACCACCTTTGTTCAGGGATTCAGGATGATTGAGATAAATGGTGCTTCGACTTCCAGAGGTCATTTACAAGATGGACGCCCCATCTTTGAAGATGTTTGGTTTTACTTTTGCGAAGCGTCTCATTTAGCCGTTCATGATGGTAGCTGAGCCACCCCACGAGAAGGTGGTCGCGTCTCACTTCAGCAGCGTCTACCGAGTGGTCGACCACTCGCCGCTCCGTCACTCGCCGCTCGTGACTCGCCGTCGCTTCGGCTTCGGTCCGCAGGTTTCAAGGTGGATCTTCCCGTGAAGTATCAGAAGGTGCGAGGACAGCAGGCGTGGCTGATCTGGATAGGTTTCTGCTGAATCATGTACCATGCATCCTGCTTGGGAGGCCGGGAAGGCAATAGAAACGATGAATTGAGAGAGAATTGCGGTGTCATTTACCCGCCTTTCAGCGATTTGGCCGACAACATGACAATCCCAAGCATGTCCAGGAGGGGGCTTCCAAAAGTCAATTCTGCACCGCCCGACGTTTGGAAGGCCTTTGATCCACAAGAGGGGTTCTCCAACCAACTCTTGGGGACCTCAAGAACCGGCCTGGATTGATCCGGATTGGCTCTTATCTCTAGACCACCATCCGCAGGACTGCACCTGCGTCCAGGAGGTGATGTTTCAAACAAGAACAGCACCTGGCACCTATATTTACCATCTCAGCTGTTTGTTCCACCGGAGTAAACATCCAAGTTTTCCCACGTGACGAAGCACATGTTGTGGGGATTCTGCAGCAAGTTGATGTGGTGCTTCCTGCAGTTCCAAGTGACAGACCTCCAAAGAGGGCCGGACAGGTTCGGGGCCCCCACCTCGTTAGCGGGTCCGTTCGGATTCCGTTCGGGCGGGATGCGCGTTTTATATCGCATCGCTTTGGCTCCATGGGCTAGGGCTCGTACCCCATCAAGCTCTTCTACACTTCCAACATCCCCATCATTCTGCCACTTGGCCTCACAGAAGAGTGTGGGCGTCTCATGGGTGGAGGATGGGAGGAGTCCGATGCCTGCAAAAGAAAAAGAACCACCTGCCAACGACGACGTCCCAAACTCTGCATGAGTTGGAAGATGATTTACTTTCAAGGTCAGTGAAACATCTATCATAGTCTCCAACAACCGAGCTCAAAGCCTTGCGAGTTAGCACTTCGGTGGCAACGACCCCCCCCGGTATCATACGAGCTTTATCCGATCTGCCGAGCTTTACTCCATGCCATGCAAGTGACCTGCCGCGAGTTCGAACTGGAAGGGAAGAAGAATCGACGACACCTGGCTGGAAAGAGAACTCTTCTGGTCTATCCACTGACTGCAGGAGACGATAGGGGGAGCTCAGACACTCAGGCAGACTGCCTTGGTGTCCAACCTCTACTTCATGTCGCAGTTGCTTTACAGGCCAGACAAGAAGTGATGACTTTACACAGTCATTTGGGCGTGGAACAAAACCCAGGTGGGTAGGGACTACCCTGGTAGTTTGACCATGTGTCGCAGTCTATTCTGTTCATTTTCGGTGGGAAAAACACCAGGGCTTTTGACCCACAGTCATTTCAGTCTTGTTTGTCTTGTAGAAGTGGACTTGGGAAGAACGGACAGTGACCTTTTTCATTGTACTAGTAGTTTTGTAGCAAATTTGACCACCTTTTTGCCAAAAAGGGGTGATCTTGTCGTGATCAGTCGTGATCCCATTTCCAGGTGGCGTCCGAGTGTCGTTGCAGAAAAGCAACCCGATTCTGGACCTGTTGGGGCTCGCTTGATGCAACGGGCAGGGCATGGACCCCAACGCAACGGGGCCCTGGATCCTGGTGGTTTGAACTTCCGGTGGCCACGAATCCAAAATCACTTGGCAGAGCTTGGACCTTTTGATGCCAGAAAGAACCAATGCAGATACCAGCATCCTCCAACAGGTCACCAATGGTTCGACCTGTCGGGGCCCTGTCGAACCCTCTGGAGCAGGAGACCTGTAGAGTCGGATGCTGGTAGAGATAAGCCAATGCACCTTCGCCTGAACGTACAGAAACTGTAGGGGGCGGCCCCACCACTCACGCCCCCACGACCCAACCGGATCATTTCCAGACCAACCTCCTTCTCCCGAGTCCTGAGCTTCAGTGGCAAAACCAAAAGAGTTGCCTGAGCTCGCCACCCCGAACTCGGCCAGGCGTTTCAAGTCCAACATGTTGGTGAACCTGCTGGGACAGTGGCAGGAGCACGAGCTGGGAGTTCACCTTGACCTGCCCTACCAGTCCAGGTCTTACAGACCTCATTTTACTAGGTCCGGTCATGCACAAACAGTACTCAATGAGGTTTTGAGGACCAGGTTGAACTTGGTTCGACTGGACCGGTAGGGCTCAACGGACCTTGCGATGACAGCTGTCTCCAACTCATCCGGACCCCGCTCTCCTGACCTCTACGGATTCTGCCCAGGAGGCTGATGGCCCAGGCCAGTCCATCCCTGTGGGCGGCTTTGCATACTACATCTCCCCGCCCCACAGCGTCCGGGCATCCCGGGAGCGGACACCCCCAACGTTTGGGCGGAACTTGGGCGGCTGAAATGAGGCCGAAATGGATCCGTCTGAGAGAGATGGACTCTTTTTGGGCCATCTAAGGAGTTTGGTTCCTTACTTTGGTAAACAGTTTCTGAGTATTTTTTACCCACATGTGGTGCTTGGGATGTGCCACTCAAGCCTTTCACTTGCACAACTCGGCCGCCTCTCGGCTGGTTCTGGAAGGGACGACCAAGGCTTCTCAAGGCCGCTCGATGTGCTGGATGAGGTGAGTGAAAGGATTGTCAACCGAAAACACAGATGGAGTAGGGGCACTCCAAAAGCTGTTCCTTGTTGGTTTTGGATTTGTTTTCGGGTGTCCATCTTGTCAGCCTTCTTGGTTTTGGACATGTTCCATGTTCTATTTGCTGGTTAGGATGAGACTAGCATGAACACGCATGATGTTGAAGAAAGAAGACGTGAATTCCATCATGCAACTTTTCACCTGGCGCCCAAAACCAGTTCCAAACCCTGTATGGCAGCTTTAGGAGACAGCAGAGCATGTTCTCAGGGTGAGCTCCCATAACTCACAAAAAGAACATCCGGAGCCTTTGTAGAAGTTTACACCTGGAAGTGGAAAACCACCGGTCTGCGGAGGAAAAAGGTTTTTAGATCCAAGGAGCCATGCCATCCACTTCCATGATGTGTAAGTACCTGGGCTAACTGGGATGACGTTGAATGTCGAAGCTGGACCATTGAGGTCTCAAACATTTGGGAGGATCCTCTTCATGCCTCTTGGCGGATTAGGGATCCTGGATGGGCTGATCATCAGTCAGGTGAGTTGCGAAAGCATGAGTCTTCTCGGTTTGGATGAAACGGATTGGGCCACAGCCGCATGTGTTCTTGCAGAAGGAGCTCGTTGCTGCCGGGGAAAGGGGGGCTTTTCAAAGGCATCGTCCACCTGGGCTCACCTTCCATTCTTTCGGGCCTGGACTTCCACTCTTCGGGAGCACCGCAGGGCAGCGGGACCTTGAGGCCTTGATCTATGTCTCCTTCGTCCTCATCTCCTGTGCGCTCTTCTCCAAGTTCTGGATCGAGGCGGAGTCGTCTGGGCGCAGGTACTGCCCGAGAAAAGAGAAGGCACCAATGTGGACCGCCATAGGACAAGGACCCTTTTCATGTTCATTTGTGTCGACAGAGAGACAGAGAGAGAGAGAGAGAGAGAGAGAGAAGGAAGATTGAAGACGTCGAGCTCTTAATTTTCCGAAGGGGCTGTGCTTCAACAACAAGGGTATCCATCGACTTTCCATCCACTTTTTTTGATTTCTCCCGAGATGTTGAGGATGTCCAGGTGTCCATACTATTCTTCTGTTTGTGCCACCATGTTTGGGACATCCGTCAGACGTCTGGCAGTTCCGTCGGAGGTGTCTGGCTCCTCCCCGCGAGATGTGGCCAAACAGCTCAGAGACAACTCCATGGTCTTCAAAGGCCCTCACTCGATCGGAATCGATGTGGCAAGGCACTTCGACAACTTCAACTTCACTTCGGAATCCTTGTCGCCTCGGGAAACGCACCGTGAAACGCTCGGCGCCACGTCCGGTGGCAGATTTTGATGCCCGGGTTCCGGGCATCGCGCGATGACCGTCGCGCGGGGTCATCGGGTGAGCGCTGAGTTGAACCCTCTCTCGGGTATGGCTCAAAAATAAGATACCTCCACAACCTCCCATCCAAATGGACACCTGAAACATGACTAGTTGACTGCCACGAAAAGTCACGAAACCGTTCCATTGGACCTCTTTTAGGTAAGGTCCAGGTCGACCTCTTCAGAGATCACCTCGGTCACCCGAAGACCTGCCGACGCTCCGCCCTCCCCACGCACGCCTTCCACCCACTCCGCGCGCTCCGTGCACGGAGCTGCCCGCAGGGCATCGAGAAGAGTCTTTGTCGCGCGGTGGAAGTGAGGAGCATCGGGGTGCGGGGATCATGAGGAGCCTGGGCAAGTCGTGTGCGTTGCGACTCCCAAGCAACGGATTCATGCGACAAAACCTAGAACAAGCACAACTCCCGGAACTCCGCACGTCCTCCGAATCGCAGGAGGCTTTGGATGAGAACTCATATTTACTATGGACTATGGAGGGTTATGGTAAACAGGGAGGATGTGTAGAGCTAAGGCTGAAAAGGTATTCTTTGATCAAATCAACTCCTTGTCATCATTTGTTTCAGACGCCTCTTTGGTCTTGAAATGCATGAAATGCATGTCAGGCCAAAGATTTCTTTGCCACAGACTCCAGCCAAAACCTGGATTTCCGTGTATGTTCCATCCCCCTCCGTCTCCCTTGACCCCGAGTCTCAGAGACGGCAGGGAGCTCGCTCAGGTGCTACAGTGCTCTAGAGCTCACGCCCGAAGCACGCACGCAGCACCTGGCCTGGCCGAGGTTGAAGGTGTTGGACATGTACATTCCCACCGCTGCGGCCTTCGGCGGCATGTGCATCGGTACCTTCGGCCCGGATGGTGAGGACCGGACGACCGGACGACCGAACCTCCGGGCCAGAGGGGGAGGAGGGGGAGGAGAGGGGGAGGAGAGGGGGAGGTTTCGGGCTCCGTTGGATCATCAGAAGGGCGAATGCTTGGCCGTTTGGCTTGGTTTGTAGAGTCCTTCTTGGAACGATGCCTCCCACTGGCCAACGGAATGAACTGCTTTTCAATTCTTGGAGGGATGGGTCGGTTTGGACATGATGCGACGAGGAGCCCTACACAAGTGCTTGAAGTACAGGGTTTTCCTGATGAAAGACACAGCGTTTGCACCATGGGGGAGCACTGTCGGAGTGTCCTACATATGCCTGTTTGAGGTTCCAGTTCCAGGTATAGTCTAGTACAAGAGTTCTTTCCTCAATAGGAGACGTATATCTGAGTTGACCGTCCAACAGATTTGACATTTGAGTGTGTTTGTGTGAATTCCTCCCAAGACAAGGGCTCTATATGCTCCTCGACTTGACAGGGGATCCGCGACGGGCCGACGTACCCACTAAGAATCATGCGTTCATAAAGGGGGGACTTTTTGGCTTTTGTCTGCAGCTCCACTCATGGTGCACACCAACTGCCTTGAGACATTTTGGCTGGTGTTGTGATCCCATGTGTTATCACCAGCTTCACTGGTGATCCTGAGGATTTACTTTCAAGGTTGTCAGACACCCGTCACATGATGAACCCCCATTCTAAAACCTCTTCAGGCCAGGCTGGTTGAAAGATCATCAAGGGTCTACCTGGACCTGCAAAGGGGCGTCCTGTCTGGAGATCCCTAGGTAGTGTAGGGGCTTCCAGCCAGGTGACCCCGAACTGAAGGTGCTGGTATAATCCTGTGAGCATCGCATGGGGGTCCCATGGCACCGAGGCATGCTCACGATCATGGCGGACTTTTTGGGCGCCATTGGCTCGGGCACCGGTATCCTCCTGGCGGCGGCTCGACGGAGGTTCCCGAGTCGTGCAGAGGTTCCGCACGGCGCTGCGACTGGCGGAGACTGTGTTGGTGAGTGCATCTGAGACCTTGAACTGGGCTGAAATGTGGGTTTGAGTGGCTTTTTGTTGGGGGAGAGAACGCCTAAGCGTGTGTCACCGGTTTGGACGGTTGTTTAAGGGAGGGAAGGAGGGGGAAGGAGGAGGTCCTTGGATCCACGAAATTCGGATTCAGAGGACGCGTCTCGCCATGGTCGACGTCTTCCAAACTTCACCGAGTGGGAGAGGGAGTGGGCACGAGTGGGTACGTCGGCGCGGCGGTGCGACGAACTCGTTTTGTCGTGGAGTTCGCCAAGAGTGACAGTGCGAAGAAGTGAAAGTCCTTCCAAAAGCAACCTGAAGCTTTGGAATCACACCCGATGGCTCGGAAGTCCCCATCCCTTGGAATGCCCCCATCTAGGACGGCGTGGCTCCGGGAAAATGATGGATGCTTTCGCTACAAAAAGATACAACAAGGCCTTTTTGTCCACTTGCATCCTCTCTGTCCAAGTCGGGAAACCATCCCACTAAGTCACTAGCAGACCACTTGGAGACCTGTCCAGCTGGCTTGGAGCGCCAAGGTCACCATTATCTACCAATATTTTGAGATTATGTACAAGGCCGGATCCCCCGTGCAGTCGCCCTTTTCTGGGATGCGCCCAGTGATGCGCGACGCCTTTTCGCTGTGGTGAATGAGGCCCTCGGAAGATTAGGACCCAACAAAACCGGGCCCTGGGCCTGACTTCTCCACTTCGCCACTGGGTTTCAGCCATGTTCGTGGATGTGATCCACCTGGTTACTTGAAGCTGGAAGATGAGGTCGAACGACCCCAAAAACGAAGCAAAGGCCCGGCCTTGGCCCCCAGAGGTCTGCTGGGAGTGACGTTCCCGAAGATGCCCCTTCCTCATCACCTGGGAGTGGCCACAGCAGTCGACTGACTGATCGCACTATATGCAGCCTTCAAAACAGATAGAAGTTAGAAGGCTGTGATCGAGTGTACAACTCAAATAGAACAGAATACAGGATCCTCTGCCGTCAGACATCCCTCCGGATTGGTCGGGATTTCGGGTCGCCTACAGTTCCAACCTGAAGTGGCCCAGGAGAAGGAGCAAGGAAACATGCTCTTCTAAGCCAAGGTCCGACCACGTCACGTGACGAATCGGCACCGTTGACCAGTCGGTCGTCGTTTTGGTGTTCGTTTCGTTTCGTGACCGGGGGGGGCATGTGTGTTTGAGTCGAGTCTGGCAGCTTCCTCGTGACAGCTCCTGGCGTTTTCAGAAGCGAGTCCAAGCGTTGTTTGTTGGGGAGTCAACCCCACTAATAGTACATCTTGCCGCTGAAAAAACACACAAACATTGCCGCCTAGCCACTCATGGGGGCTTGGAAGAAGATTTTACTCCATTGTATTGCTAGTCTCGGGGAAGTTTTGTGGTTGAAAGACTCCAGACACACACCCCGAGCAATTGGGAAAGACGACCTCATGTCCATCAGCTCGCAGCTATATGTGTTGGTTTTTGGACATTCATCCATCTCATCCATCTTATCGACTTGGACACCAGCCGAATCTCCGGGGGGCACGTTGAGTGGGATTTCTCCGACGCGAACGGGGCCCGGGATCCTTGGAGTCTTCTTTTCTTTCCGCACAGCGCGGATTCGAAGGCCATGGACATCTGGCCAAGTGGAAATGAGTCCTCGCCCCGTTTCAACGGGGGGGAGAAGAGACCAGGGCTGCCGTGAAAGAGGGAGATTTGGTGTTCAACAGCCCTTTGTCCTGGTTGATTGGATGATGTTCCAAGCTTTTTCCTGCTTGATCAGGTGATCTTCCACATGTTTCGACTACCGATGCATTTCGGACCCCTGGTGTGCCATGTACCGAGCCTGGTGTGCCCTTGCTGAGTCCTGAAGTCTAACTGGCGAAGGACCAATGGGATATCCAGGATCCTATCCCTAAGCACCCAGGTAAAGGACATTCTAAATATATCAGCACCTGAAGAAAAGGGGGGTCTCCGACTCCGACTACTCTACACTACTGTTGTGGATCTTTGCTTTGTGGATCTCGCACCCCTTCCTTCAGGTCCAGGTAGACTTTGAAGGTCGACCATGCCACCTGCTGGTTCTGGATCTGAGTTTTGGAGCTCCCACCCGATGGACACGTCGCCTACAGATGGACACCTGGGTCGTGACCCACCCACCGGTCCGGTTCCAAGTCGCGTTCAGCGGAACGACCGACACCAGGGAGGTCAATGGCATATGTGAGAATGACCGGTCGACCAGGACCTAGACCAGGGGACCCCGAACTGAAGGTGCTGGTCGAGAGTTTCGATCCATTTGCTGTGCCATTGGGACGACAGCAGCGCTGGAGGTCTGACCCCCGGAACAAAAAACCACCGAACGAGAGTCGGAGCCGCTGTGGCAAAGAGTCCGGCGGAGTTGCGAGAGAAAAGCCGATCCTGGTCGGAGAAGGGCTTCACAGGAAAAAGCGCCGGCATTGCTCTTCGGTCATGTCCAAGTAGTTCAAGTAGCAGTCATAAGCATGACAAGGAACGTGTCGTCACTCTCTATGAAGCTTCAGTGTGCCAAAATAAAGACATCTCACACATTCGATTGATGCAACAGCTTAGGAATGCATGGTTTGTACCTGCCCCAAGTGACCCTGCCGCAACATGTGCCTTGTGAGAAAGAATAGCACCTTTGACTCGCCTGTGTGGTTGCTTCATGTTTCTTCAAAGTTTGGGTCAGGGGGTGCTCTACACCAGCTCTTAGTGTCCGAACACCACCCCTTGGGGCTTAATGGGGCTGCTCTTTTTCTTCCTGGGAAAGGAACACAGGTTTTGCCGCAAAAGAACTTCTAAATTCATCAACCAAGCATAGCTGGGTGCCCGAAGACTTCCTTCGCTGACAGACCTGAATAATCCTGTAATTATATATGAATCTGAAGATCTGTGAAGCACTTCTTTGATCGATGGAACTCGGGCGCTGGCTTGGTCATGGGGATACCAGGCCACTCATGGCTCAATGCAAATGGACGATCAAATTCCGTTTGGCTTTCATTGTTTGGCCAACCCTGAAGTGGCGAAAGACATGCAGCTGCGGTGACAAACATGCACGCGACAAGAATGCATCAAGTGACCTATGTAGAACATCCGAAGAGAATCCGGCAATGAGTCGGTGTCTTTGGTGCTCTGGGATTGGAGTTTTCATCTGAAGAATTCTGAGAAGAATTCCCAGATTTGTGGCCAGCGCCTGACCAAGTGGCACCTGGCAAAGAAGCCGCCCGTCTTCGGGCGCGCGCCAAGACCGTCTGCGCGTGTTCGAACATGCGAAGAATCGACAGGACTCCGGGCATTCTGCCTTAGGAGGAGCTGAAAAGGCCAAGGAAACGTCGAGAAACAAGTTCAGTTTCAAGAGAGAAGTCTGAAATGACACAGATTTTTCGATTTCTGCCATAGTGCAATCTAAAATTACATCTAGATTTTTTGTCAGGATCTTCAAAAGTTGGAAGGTAGAGGCACAGTCAGAGCAGTCTATCAAGTAGAAAAGATCTGAACCTATCCCAGACAGGGTGGTTTCAGTGTCCATGTGGGTATGTGAACACAGAATCGGCGTCGCCTTGGCTGAACCGGAGCCTGAACGAGCACCTGTCCCAAGGGGGCTCCAAAACAAGAGCAGCGAGAGTCAAGGGAGGCATTGTGGTTTGCTTCGTACCTTGTTGGAAGCGGCAGTTGAAACACCACTGCTGCCCAGAGGCTCAGTGGACCCTCATAGCTAGGGCAGCTCGGGTAGCTCGGGTTTTGCCCCTCAACTGGGGGTTTTGAAGCTCAAATATCTAGCAGGAGGGTCGCATCTGGCTGGAAGACTGTGAAGACTGAATTCGACCGCTCCGACCGTGACTTGGAACTGACTCCGCTTCTGGAACGACCAACGTCGACCGCCGTGACTCATCCGACTGGTTCCGTTGCTGCGACACGTGTTGTCCATCGGCAGGCTTGAAGAACGCCAACGAAACGCTGGATCAGATCCAGAAGAGCCTCGAGGCCAACCGATGAAAACGGCTTCGTGTCTGCGGCGGAGTGCGGCCGAAAGATGAGAGAGGGTGGTCGGGTCCGCCGTGCGCGGTCGCGGTGCGGGGGGTTTTGGGGTGGTCTGGGTGAGCCGAAAGCGGAAGAGCAAGATTCCACAAAGGCTCTGGAGGTGGGTTCAAGGGTTCTGATAGGGTTCAGAGAGGGTTCAGGCATCCAAACACCTGCACTCTGAAACCTCAAAATCAAAACCACCTCTGCTCACCCTGAAGAGGAGCTGCCGCGTAAGATGGAGGGCTAGGAAAACCAATCTTCCCTTCCAGTCTGTGATTTGTTCATATTTGTTCGAAAAACGCCCATCCATGTGGGAAGCAGCCTCCTCCGCCGGAGAACTTCTTGCTTCACCCCCCAGTGCTGTTCTTCAACGAGCTGAAACCGCCGCGATGAGTTCTCTCTCTCTCTCTCTCCCTCCCGCCGGAACCGCGCCGGTGGGGCACGTCTCCGTGGCCGCGGAAGCCGGAAGCGCGAGAGCCGCCCGCCAGGCATACCTCGAGACCAAGCGAGCCGCCTTCCCGCCGGGGTGGCCTATATAGGTGACGGGTGTGAGTCTTCTTGGTGAGTGACTGAAGACGAAACCGGTGGGTCGCGCGTTCGCCCTGGCTGGGACCCCCGGAGGGAAGACCGGTGTTCGCTTCGCTTCTTCCGCGAGTCGACATGGTTTGCGTCATGTTCTTGGTGTGTGTTTTTGCGAGGGTGAAGGCGATCAGAAAGCGTGGGTGAAGTGGTTATGAAGGCCTTATTCGATAGTCATTAGTGGATGTATTAAATCATTACAGCAAGATTGGAGCACTCTTTGTTCGGGGTATGTTTTTGCTGTCACCTCTTGACTTCCAATCCAGCGGACTTGCCAGCAGCACTTGTGGGCGTTCTGTGGAGATCTTAAGGCGCTTCTATTTCTTGTCGGACGATGAGCTTTTGAGCATCATGTCGCAGACCAGGCAAGGGCAGCCGAAGGCAGTGCCGAACACGGGCCCAAGAAACTAGTTAAGTAGTATGCGTCCGGGACACTCCAGGACCATCCGTTTGAGGTGTCTATAAATAGCCGTAGCCTCTTAGAGTTGATTCGGGGTGTCCCAAAACCACCTGTTGGAAGGTCCTGGTAATATATATATATATATAGTGGGAAGAGCTGAAGTAGGTTGGACTAGCTGACAGCAGGAAGAGATTCCTTGATGTTTGATGATGGGTAAAGCGGGACCGTTCTTGATCGGTAAGGTTGGAGTGGCAATGCTGTGAGTTGGGCTTCCTAGGATCTGCTGATCAATATCGGATTGGGTTGGATCTGGAAACCAGGGCAACAACCACACTTTGGTCTCCCCCCAAAACCCGGGAGCTGCGGCCATCGACACACCTGTACTTGTGTGGTGGCTGGGCGGGCCAACCTTTGGATCAAAGACAAGCTGTATGGCTCCAAATTCTTTCAAACATGAGAAAGACTTCAATGCAGCGAGGAGTTCAGCTGAACAATTCGAAGGTCACTGGCAGCGCAGTTCACCTGGCCTTCACTCGCCACGGAACCCGCCTCCCATGGCTTGGCGCTTGCGCTCGCCGCGGTCGCCATGGCGACTGCTGGGCCACACCGACTGCTGGGCACCCGAGAAGTGGGCAGGGTGGGGTCCCAAGAAGTGGGGTTACTGAAGTTGTCCCACAAAGAAGATCTCAACCAACACAGAGTTTGGGTTATAAGCCAGACGCTCCATGGGACTGCCATATATGCCGATCAGTTGGGGTGGTTTGAGGGGTCAATGTAGGCATATATGGCATACATGGAGCGTCTAGGTAAAGACGATAAAGACCCCTAGCATCCCGTGAGGGGTCGAATTTTCCCTCTGGGGAGGTCAACATGCCGACCGATTTTTTTTGGGTTGTATGTTATTTACTCCTGATGAACCACTTTTGGAGTATACATGGGCAGTCAAAAAGTTACATAGCCGCAGGTAAGAATGACCCACGTCCCCTTTTTGTCTCCTGAAATCACGCCCATCTCTCTCGACCTCAGGCCCGACCAAGCACCCAGCACCCCTCAGCCTGAGGCCACCTCCCGGAGGCCTTTCGTTTGACCATTCTAAAGGAGGTTGAGCCGGCTTTGTAGTGCAAAGTGCTTAGTGAAACCATGGTCGTTCGGGGTGACCCTGCTATCAAATCTGGTGCTTGGAAGCCTAATTAGGGACCCCCTTGTGTTCCAGGTGTGGAAAGGGTTGTTGAGGGGATCTTTTTTTCACGCAACATGGAAGTGGACCTTGGCCCCAAACCGGGGGTTTCCATTGGCGATGGGTGTGAGGGTATGTGTTTCAGGGTTCTGAATACCTTCTGAGGATGTACTTGTATGTGCAGTGTAGGGAACTGTCATAACTCTGATCTCAGCCTCTAGTAATTGACCGCTGTAGCTCCGCCAGCGTCCAGCCCCACCGGCCGCGCCACTGCCGCCAGCTTCATCACAGCTTGTCAGTATAAACCAATCCACTGTGGGAGGACTTGATCTTGAGCGATCCGCTTGAAGTCATCCCCCAGTCACCACTGTACATCCAAACCCACCTTTGCACTGTGAAAGGCGCTGTTCATCCGCGAAAGCGGGTTGTTATGTGCCAAAAGCCTGGTTTGCTTGAGGACAGATATGACACAGAAAAACTGGTCTAGCGCCGAGGGGTGCGCTGTTAACAGGGTGTCAATCCTACCCAATCAGTGGATACCCTTAAAGCTTTTCTTGTTTTTGTCCTTGGGATTGGTTTCCCCACTAAGCAAGAGCAGGTGGAAAAAGCTTAACTTTTAAACCAGCGAAACTGATGGAGTCGCCGAGGGCAGGACAAACACTGGCAGGACAGTCCGGAAGTTGGGAGACACATTGAGGTCCCTTCCAATGGCTGACCTTCTGAACATGCATAGAACTCCTTTGGAAGTGGTGTCAACCAGCATTGTCCCATGCTGCGCCATGGCCCTGTGCGCTCCGCGCGCCACGCAGTCCTGGCGCTCACCTCGTGCCAGCACTTGGCGCGAACTCGGGCGGCGAGCGGCGTGAGCGATGCAGAGCTAGTCTTCGGGAAGCTCTCTAAGACGATTCACCGCGGATTTAAGTTTGATCGGATGCCTCTTGACCAAAGCTGAGCCAAAACTAGCCTGCCCCACCACCAGCACCATCGAGTTCGGGTGGTGATTGGAGGGAAAATACATCGGATTTCGGGGTGTCTCTAAACCACCCGAACTCTGGGAACTCTTCAGTCCTGATTGGTTTAATGGAGATGGGGTACCACTGTTACTGACCCGGGTGCATGGGGCGTTTCCCGGCGTGCGGATTCTGCTGCGCAGCATCGGATTTTCTGGAGCCGGATCAACCCAGGTTTCCCAGTGATGACTTAGATCCTGAAGCGCTGCTGGAGCTGGATCAACTGGCCTTGACCAGTATGAAGACCCAGGCGAGAAGAGCCAGTGTCGGGCGAAAGGGGTGCTTGTCTTTATAAACGAATGGATACTCTCAGCATGTACTGAATAGATGCACTGGAGACTACGACTGCTTCACTTCAAGGAGAAGCGAGACACATTTTGTGCAACCGTCTGTACGACTGTACGTCTTTCATGACCGCTCACCGTGAGCAAGAGGTTTATAGACAGCGAACTCATGCGCACCATGGAGCTGCAAGCACCCAGTTGGCCTCCAGAACAGCAGTATTCTGAGTATTCCCCACAGGAGCCAATTGGCACTGAAAGTCTCTGATCTTTTGCTCCTTCACTGGACTCCTCACTCCCTGGACTCACTCCTTGGACTCTGGACTCACGGTTTAGCCAACGAAGACCGCACCCGCAGCCCGTGCAGGACGCGCCGCGGCCCGTGATGGAGAAGATCGTCCGGCTTTTGCGGGACTTTGGGCAGAAGAAGGACCTGGAGAGATATGGGCACCTCGGTCACCAACCCAGAGAAAGGATGTGGTCCGTGGTCCGTTTGCTTTCGCAACACAGGTTTTCGGGCCAAAAATCGACGCGATGCTGTAGCTTGAGTAGCTTTGAACATCTTCGCAAGCTTCCTTGGCCCATGGCATTGGATGGCCAATCCATGGCATCCTGCCCCCAAGAGTTCTTCACCTTTCCGACCTGGACGGTCTGCGGTCGACCGTCGACCCAGGCGGTACCTTCTGAAGCGGCAGCGCTCGCGCACGTCCGCAGAGATCCCCAGCTTGTTGCCCAGTGCGTTTTTGCCGGAGACCCGGTGATGGCATGGTGGAGTGACTGAGGGAGGGAGGTGTTTTTTAGCTGTGAAGGGCAGATTTTCCACTCATGCGTTTTTCCATGGAATCATCAAGTGGACCTTTCTACTTGGCTGACGTAGATGTGCAGACAAGAACTTAGTGGCCATGGCCTTCTCAGATTTGCCACGGAAATGGTTTGGACTTGTGTCATAGATGTTCAGTCCAGTTGAGACCTATAATTAACCTCGAAGGAGCCGGCAGATGAAGACTGGTTTCGTCAGAAAACCGTGAAGACTGGTTTGACGGGCGTGAGTGGTTGTCACAAGGGCCATTGAGGTGGTGAGCAACAAACATCCTGTAGATCGATTCCTATTGTACTCGTGCAACAGACAACAGAGGGTGTCCAACATATTCCAATTTGAGCTACCAATAGTATACAGATAGTGAAAGTCCAATATAAACAATTTCAGAAGGCACACCAACCAAGGAAGAGGTAGCAACCAGGGAAGAGGTAGGATTGACCTCAAGATTCATACATTGGACCTTTACACTTTAAATAGAATAGATTTCACCTCTGGTGCTTTTCGACCCAATCAGATCAGTGTTTTTCTTCCTCCTCCTGCAATCGGATCTTTCTCAAGGAGAGCGATGGGCCCGATGGCCTCGTAGACAAGATGAAGAAGAATCCTGCTTACAAGGACATGTCTTTTGGAGACTGGACCTGTCGCATGACCGGACCTCCAGTTTGGTGATTTGCTCAGGGACGCACAGCCTAAGGCATCGTTTTTCTGGCCTTGGTGGCCTAAGGGTAACCACCGCGGATAGCTTGTGGTGGACGTACCCAAATGAATAGGTTTGCGGTTTCCAATACGATTGCCTCCAGCGGTACAGACGCCCGGACTAGGCGCTCCCAGCCGACACTTTCATATATGGACATCTGAAGTGTTCCGATCCACAGGTGTTCCATGTTCATAAGGCAAGCTGTCTCATGTTCTCAGTTTCGGTCCCTTGGTGGATCTCTCTCTTTCAACTAAAGCTGTCTCCTCTTTTTCGCTTCGTCTCGGCCACGGGGCCTCCGCTGACACGGCGCCGGCGACATGCGGTCTCCAGACAGCTCCCCGGCAGCCCCTGGGAGACCCGAAGATGTGCAGGACCTCTTTGACCATGCAGGCGTGGCCTCCATGGACGACTCCATGCTGAAGCGCCTGGCCATCGCTCACAAGGAGGACCGGACCCAGTGGACGGGACGAGGTCCATGGAAGTCAGTTGGGAAAGGCGACCAGGTATGGAGCCAAGAGAATGTTGGCCAACAGCCGAGCTGGGTTCTTTTTCGCTGCTTCTGCCATGGATGCCTTGGAGTGCAGTGGATCACACCTGTTCCTACAGGTCAGCCTCGCGTCTCCCGAGCAGTTCCGAAGCGCTGCCCTTGTTCCACCCGGCAGACGCACGCGTGCCGCGTCCGACCACGGTTCGTTGCCGTCGAGGACCGGCGCCACGTGTTGTACCAGATGTTCTGGTCGCCCGAGGCCGCCTTGACCTATGTGGCGCATCGCTATCCAGCCACCTGGGACGCTTGGTATTTTTTTGGGATGATTAGATTTTAAGGTATTCAGTTTTTTGTTTCAAACTATGTGGTTGATATATGTGTTGAAAAAAGCACTTGCAGAGATTTTTCGGAATGGTTGTTTTGTTTCTTTTCTTCGGAACTCACATTTCCAGCATTTTCCAGCAAGAGGGGAAGTGGAATGGCTTAGCAGTAC